ATATAAAACACAAAGACAGCGCTGGTGAAACAGTCCCATGTAGACCTTTTTTCCAGTAAGGACTACTTTATATCATCCTTTGAAATTAGGAACTTGGCAATAAGTGTTGTCACCCATTGAACACCTTGCTGAATAATGCACCTACCACAAGAGGCAGTGAGTCCTGACCTCTGCTGGCCTGACCTTCATTTACCTAAAGGTAGGCAGGGCCACTGTGCTCTCTGAGGGCCACCTTCAAGGATAAGTCATGAGCTTGGAGAGGGCCACATGGCAGAGTTAGAGAGGGGGACGATGTAGGAAGAAGAACACAGAGGAGCATAGGGTTGATGACAGAGGGCCAGAGGAGCTGGTGAGGAATGATCCCCACGACAAATAGTTCTCTGTACTCCAGCCATTAGGTGTCTCTTAACTGGACCTGCATTAGTTCCTATTTGGAGAAAGGATGTTCTTTCACTGATACAGTGCCAAGGACTGTCAACAAGAAAGAAAGAACATACATCAGGACAACTTCTTTTCCTGTCATGGTAGTTTAAAATAACTCTCTCAACAAATTGAAGGATAAGTTAAAATTTTAAATATTTCACTTTTTAATTTTGTATGCAAAGCAACAAATGCATTTGTTCTTCTTTTCATGTGACAAGGTACAGGATATGTCTTTTGTACTTACTGTGCATTTTCCACAATGGATTATTATCTGATATGAATAAGGTGACTTTGAGGTATAATGTGGAAACATGTTCATAATTATCCTAACGCTGGAAAGGCTATGCCTACCTAAGTCATCACAATATTAGAGAATGAAAAACAAGAAAATTCATAGAGCTAGCCCATAGGATTCTTGATAAATCTGGGCCAAAGCAGACCATGTGAAAGAATAGAGATAGTCAGACCTTGTCAAATATGTGAGAGAGCGAGAGAGAGAGAATTAAAAATCAATTTTCACCTGTCCTTTAAGATAACACGATCCATACATGAGTCCCAGGAATATTTCCATAGCCACTTGGCTGAAAAGTGGCTTTTTATGAAAGAGGTTAAAACCCTTGTGATCTCTTTGGCCTTGCCAGTATAATCAATAGCTCCTGAATCACTTGGGCAAAAATGCCAGCAAACATCAAAAGCCTTTGTATCGCCACTGAGGTGTTCATACGTGCTTTCCCCACATGTAGCAGTAGGAGCAGTCGCACTCCATTCTAGCTGACGCTGAGGGGTAACGTGATGCCGAGCATCCTTCAGTAAAATGGAAACAGTCAGAATTACGTGGTGAAACTTTGATAAGGAAAATAATCTATTGTTGTAGTGTTCACATAAATTGTGTGTAATTCACAATGATTTTTTACTATGTGAATTAAATAATTGAAATAGAAGATATAAATTGAAGTAAATGCTTAGGATAGTCCATCTACTTGTGCGTGTGTGTGTGTGTGTGTCCCAGCCTCAAATCCAAACGCGCATCCACCACCAAAGCTAAATATTTACTTGTTTCCAGTCACAACTAGTAATACTCAAATGCCTTGGCTTATTCAAGGCCTATCATCAGTCCTGGTGAAGCCTTCCATTGACCTGGGCTCTTTGTGCCTCTGGGCCCAAGGTCATGAATTGGCTACATTGTGTTATTCTTACCTACAAATCCGTGAACTTTTGAACATTCAAGGATTTACTGCTAATCTGTATGTATTCTGTTCTTTTAGCTCCCCTCCTTTATTATCTTTTACCTGTTTTTTTTAAGTATTCTCATCACATATTGGGACAAAGAAAGGGTAATGGAGTGCAAGTAAATTGTAGTTCACGTATTCATTATTTAGCACTGCTGAGAAAAAAAACGCGCAATTATTTTAATTATTTAAAATGCCTGATTTAGTTTATTATGGAGTGTAAATAAAGGGAATGCAAAATTCTCAAATCCATGAAATACATGAATTGGTTATGGATTTCTCTGATTAAATTCCTTTTTTCACATTGTCATAAACGAATAAGAGTTAACTATTTTTTATATAAAATTTTAGCCAAATTATATAAGAAAGCATTTAGCTTTTTTAGCTACTTATATAGCCTCTACATTTAAATTAATATAAAATTTCCTCAGATTTTCAGGTTTCATCAAAATGGACCATCAATGACAATCAACAAGTGAAGCCACATTTATAGTTCATGAATATATTTAAATTTCTCTAGCCTTTTATTGCACATCTGGGAGAGAGGTCCTATTAACACTTTTGTGTATAAATAATTCTGATCTTAGCACAAAAGAAAAATATCACTTAGCCTTCCTAAACATAAACACAAAAAAATTAAATAATAAATTAGATATAGAAGCAACTGAATATTCCAAACAGAAATATAATAATACCTATCGTGGTTATTAATTTTTTTAATGTGAATCAGGGAAAAAAAGGACAAAATGTTTCTTCATTGGGTTTTAGTGGGAGGGTTTTTGTTGGGTTTTTGTTTTTGTTTTTAAAAAAACATATTTAGAACCTTTATTTACATATGGGTTACAGAGATATTTTTAGACCTGCATGTGACGTAAGCAACATTTTGGCTGGACTTGCCAAAAAAGACAAGTATTTTCCTTAAGCAGGAAGTGTTTATCAAATGCCTCTATGGAAAAATTGAAACATTTGAGGTTTTGAGTTTGGTTTTTGCATTCTTATTCTGGTTTTAACATCAAATCGTTGTCGGTGTGTTACTTATACCATTGTTGTAAAAACATAATCAGAAATATTTGAGCAAATAAAATTAAGATTAAATTCTTGGATAAGATAGTTCATTTATAATACCAATTCCTAACTGAGAAAAAAGGCACATATATATTCTTAATATAGAATAATTTAACCCTGCATTCCATTAAAACTCTCAAGCCGGAACATGAGCTATACAAATAGAATTTTATCTCCATTCTCCCCATTCTTTTCTGACAGACAAAGTGAGATAATTATGAAAATGTGTTTCAAATGAAAGCATTCCATTATGTGTGGAGGGTGGGGGGCGAGATTTAGGTAACATTCAAACAAAATCCCTTTTCAGCTCTTGGGACACCATGGTAAAAGAATACTTCTCAAAATGAGCACGTAGAAAGTTGTCATTTAGTGCAAGTTAGCAGCTGAGTTAATTGGCAGACTTTAGCCAAGATGACTGTATTTGCAAGAGAAAGTGCTGCCTTTGGTTTGTCAGGTAGTAACAGAGTTTCCTCAGTAGTTTCTATTCTTCTTGAGAGGAAATTAATTTCCTGCAATCAAATGCTGTGGATTATAGTCTTTTTCTCCTACCCTGGCCACAGAAGCAACGCCAAAGCTTTTTATTCAGCAGCGTTACATAGGCTTTTGGAAAACAAGCACTGATATATTCAGCATAGGAAGGTTTCACCTGCTACCTTTTGTGGCTCCAGAGCACAGTATACTTTTTGCTGCTTTGAAACTGAAAGCTATGACTTTGTAAGTGACAGTATTTGTAAGGCTTTATTTGGGGAAGGAAAGGAACGTGATAGCAAGAAACCCACCTGTAGGCAAGAAGTCCTGGTGATGTTTGAAAGCCAAATTACAAGGCAGGATAGAGCTCTGACTGGCAAATGATTCCCAATTAGTAATAGGAAGTTTTGTAGAAACATTTTTTAAAAGTAATTAATTGTAGTGAAATAAAAACACAGTTTTAGCCTCCCTGAATTGTTCAATTTCTGGGGTGTGTAAACACACACACACACACCCCACATATATACACATACATATATATCTGATATATATGCAATCTAGCAATTATTTAAATTCATCCTGCGTAATTTACAAAGAAGAATATTTTGAAAATTATAGCATTTTTAATCCATACAGTTGAAAAGAAATCTGTTTTGTAAGACAGGGGAGAGGGTAGAGATTCCGAGAAAGCCAGAAAACGCAATCCATGGAGAAACATGACCTAGGGTCAGAGATGGGATAGAGTCTTATTTCTCTGTAGTTCCTGTTCTTTTCAATTGTTTCAATTTTTTTAAAGTGTATTATGTAGAGGGAAAGAGTCGCCCCTTTCCCTCTCCTGGACAAGCTGAATCCCTGGCCATTTTCCCTCCATCGATGGTCAATTCCAGTGCCTGACAAGGCCTTAGAGAAGACATTAACGAGCCCTATGAGCCCTTTCTTGTACCCAAGGGAGAGTTTTTATACACTCTTCATACTTTGGAGAGATTGAATGAGGATTTTGCCAGTTGAATAAAACTGGGCTAGCCATTCCCTTATCATCTATTAGCTACTAACTAAATTTTGACTCCAGAATAACTTAGATGGTCTATAAAAATGAGGGGAAATATTTTCTTTATCCTTTCAAATTTTGTTTCGGTGATTTCTCAACCTCTACCAGTGAACTAATAACATACATAATTATGTAAATAAATAACCCCAACAGAAAAGGAATCTGTTTTAGTTTATAAAGACGTGACTAAAAATCACACTTTTATAAGCAGGCAATTAGCCTATTCAAAATGCCTGGATTATCTTATTGTCCAATACTGTAATCATTACTGCAAGGGGCAGTATGATTGCTTAAATAACCCTAAATGTAACTATCCTGATTCCGAGTCTAGCGTTAGCCCGAATGTTCTATATCAACATCAATTTGACTCTTAAAGTGATAACCCATTAATATTATAAGGTCGGTCGTTAAGATTTTATTTTCCACCTTAGGTTTATGGTTTTTCACCTACCACATCAGCATGGCCCTTTGGAGGTACAGGGAGCTTATTTGAGGCTGCAATAACAAAACCTTGTTAACAAAATGGATCTGTGAGAAAGAAAAAAACGGCAACAACTCTCCCCCTAAGTACTTCGGTTCCTAGTCCCTAGTTTTTAGTGACCACGAGGCACAAGGATGGCTACCCCTACCAGCAGTATACTTTTCCTAAAGCAGTGGGTGCAATTCTATTAGGCATGGAAATAGACGGTAACTGTTGTTAAGAGGTCTCGAGCACTCGGTGAGCTCAGTAATCACTTTGTGTTTTTTTCTCACCGTCTCTCCTATAGCTAACCCAACCCGAGCAGGCGGGAGAGAGCCATACCCAGGCTCAGCGGAAGTGATTCGGGAGTCGAGCAGCACCACGGGCATGGTGGTGGGGATAGTAGCCGCTGCCGCTCTGTGCATCCTCATCCTTCTCTACGCCATGTACAAGTACAGGAACCGGGATGAAGGCTCATACCACGTCGACGAGAGTCGAAACTACATCAGTAACTCAGCACAGTCCAATGGGGCTGTTGTAAAGGAGAAGCAACCCAGCAGTGCGAAAAGCGCCAACAAAAATAAGAAAAACAAGGATAAAGAGTATTACGTCTGATCCCGAGATCTTAAAAGGACCCTTGTATAGAAATAGTCTTCATTTTATCTGAGACATAATATAAACTTATTTACTTTCCTTTTTACGAAGCACATACAAAAAGAAGACAGGGAATGCAATCAGGAAGGAAAGACTGTTTTTAAAAATTAAAAACAAGTATCTCATGCTCTTGTTTCTCCAAAAAAGAGGAAAAAAAAAAAAAAAGAATGGGGCCAATAAATTCGCTAACATCCACAGTGTTTCCATTTACTCTGCCTGTCTTTATGTTGCTGGAACATTTCTAAAGGACAGTGATGACCGCACGCATTCATAAAGCAAAGGAGTATTAAAACATCGAGGCACGACACAAAAACAACACACCACACACACACACAAAAGCTACCTATGATCCTGGATTTAGCCAAAGTGCTAGCTCTTTCCTGAGAAGTCAGTTAGTCCCTTTGCCAGAGAAGACTGTCATTCTGAGTGACTCAACCTGCAAACCTGTAAGCAGAGCCTGCCACCTGGTGCAACGGGAGCAGTGGTCGGAACTTGCATTTGAAACCAAGTGCTGGCTTTTTTGAAGACTTGTGTAGGAACACATTCAAAAAGCCCCTTTCTGGTTGTGAAGGAGAAGAAAAAAGGATGGAGGCCTTATTTTCAACAATGTGAAATAGAAGGCCCATTTCCACACTAAAATTTCAAAACAAAAACAAGAGGGCATAGATGCAATCACTGGAAAATTTTCATGCACGCTTAATATGTTATTACATATGTTTATATAAAATCCATCTCTGTGTGCTTTCTGGACTGTGGTAAGTGACGTTTTATAGCCTGTTGTATAGAAAATGCAAAATATATCTCTGCTCTTCAGCCATTTTTGGTAAATTCAATGTTATAAGTGTTGCTAAGTATAGGGGGTTTTATGACATTGGAGCAACAATTATTTCAGGGTTATTTTTTCTTTGGATTTTTTTTTTTTTGCCACCATTATTAGTTGCCACAATTACTTACTTTTTTTAAAATAAAATTACAATGTAGTGTTTATTCTAAGAAAGAACTGTATGAATGTATATAAAAAGACTCAGCTACTTTTTTTTCCTTCCATGTACAGCCTTCATTCTGTTGCAATTAATTTTTAGTTTTTGAAGGTGTGAATTAGAAGGTAAAATATACACACATGTATCTTATAATCTTTTTTCCGCCCCAAAATACGCACATACATTCACTATTCACAATTAGAAATACACGCACACGCACGCGCGCGCGCGCGCGCGCACACACACACACACACACACACACACACACACACACACACACACTAATCCAGAGGAATCCATCAAAAGGATGGAAAACCCAAACATACATAAATAGCAAATATTTACTGACAAATTGGAAAGCAAGAAGGAAGATAGTTGTGCTAAGGTATTGATGACAAATGGGGTGATTTGCTTCATTGAGATCATGCTCCCAAGAAACTCCGAGAAAAATTTAGTCCCTAATGAAATGGAACCTTTTTTTCTTATCAAATAGAATATCAATGGTATTTTGTTGCATGAACATGAACCATTATGTGGGGGAGGTTACAGAAGCAAAATCGGTTGATCTATACGTTAACCCTGGCTGCTGCAATTGAAAACTTCATTTCCAATAAAATTATTTTTTTCTCTGAACTTGATGTGCATGATAAACATTTTGGAAAGTAAACACTTTCTCAACTAAGGAAGTATTTTCAATAATTTTTGATTCTGTATTACTATCCACTTAAAAATTTTCTCTGTTGATTGTTGACTATATTTTAACTTTTCTAGTTTTACATATATCTCATTATAGTTTTAGTTTAACACACATTAAGCAGTAGGAAAGTATAAATTATACACTTGTTTTTGCATATTGTTTCAATGATGTTTATAGCAATAAATTATCAGCATGAGAAAGTAATTGCAAAAGAAATGCATTATTAGAATGGAAGGTGATGCCTCAGTAAAAATTGGTTGCATTACTTTAACATCTAAAATTATAGATTTTATAGAAGAATACCTTTACAATTAGCTTTAATCAGCAAAGGCAAAAAAATGCAAAACATCTTTTGTAATACTTTAGTTGATGAAAAAAAGCCAAGAAGTGGCCTGGATTTCAGACATACAACACCTTAGAAACATGTACAACTCATAGCAAATCACCACTATCTATGGTTGTCAAGTAATTGTTGTATAGAAAAGCCTTAAAGGCTTTTCGTGACCCAGAAAGTAGAGGTATCAAACTAAAATTTAACATCCATTACTTTTGTTTCAGCTTTTTTCTTTCTTTCTTTTTTTTTTTTTAATTTGCTAGGTTAAAAAAGTCATGTCTTATTTTCCCCTCTCATTCAGTCTTACTCAGGGAAAGCCAGTGAACTAAGAAGGTAGATTAAAACCACTCATTTACATCTTGAGGTTTTAAAAAGAAATGGTTGCTTTTCCATTTGATCTACTGAGCTTGAACTAGTTTCCATCTGGAAAGATTCTAAAATATGATAGAAAATAAATAATGTATTTTTAAGCAGTATATCTATGAAGTGTGTTGTTTGGGATTGATTGCAATGTTTCTTTCCAACATAAATTTTAAAATTTCATGCAATGATATAATCTAATATTGTCAGTAAAACTATTTCTAATGTTATTGGCCTACACAAAATCTAGCAATTTTTTTTTCTTTTTTTCTTCTTTCTTTTAAAGTAGAGAAAGAAAAGAGAGGAACATGAGCTAGGGAGAGAAAAAGATGTGACTAAAAATCCAAGTATCTTCATACCAAAAGTATCAGGGTTCCACGCATAGTTTGCAGTTAATAAAGGATTTCACACTACCTGGCATAAATCTGATTACATCTCTAGACTGTAACTTTTCTGATTGAGTCTGCTTCTTTTTTATCCATGTAATGTGTTGCCTTTTTTAAAAAACAAATACTATGATAATGTATGAGGTGGTCAATCCCTAAGACATCAAAGAAAGGCCACACAACCCTCCCCTTTTAGTGCTCTGTGTGACTGGGTATCTAAGGGTTTTGTTTTGTTTTGTTTTTCTGTTGCAAGGCCAATTTATCCATTATTGGAAATGCTAAGCAAGTGGAATTTACTGTTTTGTTAATAAAATATTTCTTAATACAACTGTGGATTTATTGATTTAAATAAAAATATGCATGGCACCATTTGGGGGCAAAATGACACAGAAGACTGCATTTGAAAAAAAAACCAGTCCTCAGACAAGCAGGGGAAGAACACTGACTCTGTTTTTCTTGGATTTTAATATTCATTAAACACCTCTACATTTATAAACTTAAAGATACAGTCACTAAAAATGTACCTTTCTTTACATCTTTTTATCTTGCTATACGTGAAACTACAAACTCATAGAACTAGTTGAAAACAAAGATGCTGATTTCATAAATATGGTTTTCTCTATAAAAAGCAATGTAATTCAAGTTAAGTAAATCTATGACTAAACTCCAACACTATCACTTACTAGCTACAAGTTACCTAATTTCTCTGGCTCTCTTTCCTTATTAGTAAATGAAGGGTAATAATACCAACCTCATAGGGTAATAAGGCTAATAAGAACTACTAATATGCCTAGAAGAACTAACTGCAAAGAAAAAGTGGTTATCTGTGTACTATTTTTCATCATAATATAAATTCAGTAAGAAAACAAGTCAAAAATGTTTGCTCAGGTTTAGCTATTTGAAAAATAAAATACGGAAAACAAGAGTGTCAAGAAATATACTTGTTGGGGGGTGGCCGGTTAGCTCAGTTGGTTACAGCGTGGTGCTACTAACGCCAAGGTTGCCGGTTCAATCCCCATATGTGAGCTGCCACTGTGAGCTGCACCCTCCTTAAAAAAATTTTTTTAAGTAATTTAAAAAAATAAAAAGAAATATACTTGTTCATTTTCCATATAACTATGTTTATTTTTTTCACAAAAGCAAAGTGACTTTTTGGAAATCAGATGACCCACCAGTTACCTTGGGTATGTTTTAGACTGTTAGTAACTGTTTTCAACCTCTGGCCTTTGAAAATAATATTGTCACAGAAAAGCTTGGGCTTGGGCTTTTGTCTTCTTCACAATAAAAGCTTTCAACATAAATACTTAATCCATTTTGTACTACATCATCCTACACACGTTATTTTTTTTTGTATTAACTCATGACTTTTAAATTAATGGGAACAATCCACATCTTCTTCATGTCTAAATTCAAGGCTATATAATTTAGCTTAGCTAAAAAATGTATGAAATTTCAAAGATTGTAGCTGTGTAAAATTTATTAGTAATAAACAGATCAAGGATTCTCGAGTTGTGGAGCACAGATCCCCAGAGCCCAATGATTAGGCCTCTTGGGTTACTAACTTCTAACAGTAGTTATAAAGTTGGCAGATATATGTGGAGAGCTCCATTATCTTGGGAAGAGAGTGAAAATTTTCACCTCTATAAACCATTCAAGTCTATAACCTATACAGAAATCAAGCAAAAAATACCTGACCCAAAGTTTTCAGATTTTTGCTAGGTCATCTGAATTGTGTAAAAATAGTGTTGTATGTAATACTTCAGTTTCAAAAGCAGTACACTGTGTTTCCTGAACATTTTTTTTTAATTTTGATTGTGAGAGTGGGTGCAAATTTATTTCATGTTCATTTTGCATTCAGATAGATTTCAGCAAAGTATAAGCATTTATTTTTCATGTCAGATATATCATGCATCTTGGAACATATTTAGTCTACCAACTAAATTATTTATAAGGAAATTTATGCATGTCATCTTAACTTCCAAGTGGAAGCTAAGAAATGTGTGAGCAATCTGAGAACTGAACTTAGAGATTGGGAACAGAGAGCAATCTCATAGAATGATCTTAAAGATCACCAGTTGGAAGCACACATGCCAAGAATACCATGGGGATAAAAATTAAAATTCTGCTTTTCTGATTTATATATTGGAAAATGTAAAAAAATAAGTTTTTCTCCAATTACATGTTTCATTAAGAATAAAATATAGAGGGCCGGCTGAGTGGCGCGCTGGTTAAGAACTGGCTTGGGATGCCAGAGGGCCCCGGTTCGGATCCCACATATGAGGGCCAGTGACACTGCCCTCCACAGCTAAGATGCTGAACAACAGCTCAACCTGGAGCTGGGCTGCCGTGGGTCGCCGGCGACAGCATAGGCTGCAGCCCCTGCTGCAGTGGGTTGCCATGGGCTACTGTGTGTAGCCAGCAGCCAGCGTGAGCGGCCAGCAGCTGCTGTGAGTGGCCGTTCAGAAGCTGGCGACTCATCTGCCTCGCCCGGGAAGAGTGCAATGATGGTGCCAACTTGGGCCAGTGAAGCAACGTCCTCCACAACTAAACTGAAGAACAAAAAGACAGCAACTTGTCTGTTCCCCTTCCCCCTAATTCCCCAATAAAAATCTTAAAAAAAAAATCAAACAAACTTGAGAACCCACTAAATATAAAATTTGCCTCAATGGTTAAATAAATGATTGTATATTTACTCAATAATTAAAAAAAAAAGAATAAAATATAGAAAACTATCTAGGCACAGAACCAACAACACTCCTTAGAGGGATGAAATGGGTTGTCAAGTAATTATACAATTTCACAATAACAATTTAACCACCAAAGATACACAAAATTAATAATTATTAAACATCGACTTCTTTGAACCTAGCAGACCATATGAGAAACATGAGGTACATACTTTATAAACTTCCCAAGGTAAATATCAGCAAATAAAACCAATGAAATAATTACAATATGGGCTAAAGTGTTCCATTAGGTTGGTACTTATGTCTTTCACCTTGTTCCTGGGGAACACCCTAAAAAGCTTATCAACTTACTCACAAGAAACTGATAAAATCTAAATCAATTAATAAATTTGACTCGAACAACATGTGAGCAGTCAAAAAACTAAGTAGGAAAGGTTCTTTTCTTTTTAAGGCAAAAATTCTTAAAACTATCATTTGTTTTGCTATTATGTCGTGTAAACTCTTCCATATTCTGGACTTTTCAATATACCTGACTTTAAAAAATATACAGTATATAAAAAATAGTTTCACAAAATTATTTCCCAAAAGATGCCTTTAAATAGCATATCCTTGTAATGCATTTAAAATTGTATTATCTCTGCAAAACTTAATTCATAAAAAATATTAAGTATATGGCCTTTAAAAGGTATAGCTATTTTTTAAATAATACTTCACATTTTTAGAACTCATTACAGCCTAATGTATTTGAAACATTATTTCATTTTGATATATGTGATACTTATACAAACAAAACCTTAAAGTTGTCAGGGAAATTATTATTCATCACCCATTTCATAGTGACGGGATTGGGGCTCAGGAGGGTGGATTTGCCCCAAATCAGTTAGCTACTAAAAGGCAGAGCCAGCCAGTCCCATGGCCCATGTTGTCTACTTTAAGATTTACATATTTTTTCATTCTGTCACAATAACTCAAATTTGAACATTTTAGGAGTCTTTCTTTTTACTAATAATTTTTTTTTATCAGTTAATACACCATGGTTCCAAATCTTTTGTAAATATTGGGTTGTTGCAAAAGTCATGACACATTTTGGCAACGAAAAATGTAGAAAAATGCGTCATGGCTTTTCCAACAACCCAGTATTTCTTCTCATCTTGGGATTTTTGTATGATTCCAGATGAGACCTGCTCTGAAATACTTGATTCATTTCCATAATTGAATTAGAACTGTCTGTGCTAAATCAGATATTCCAACTCACCTTGTTTATAGTCTTTCTAAGTGTTTAGTATTTCCTTGGTACTGCAATACCTATGCATTTTGATATCTCTGTAGCCTATGGTCCATGAATACTCAGTGTCATGCATAACATACTTAAAATCCCTATCAGGAATATAAGATGGTAGAAAAAGCCTTCCAGTATTCCTGCTTTTATTCGAAGTGGCTCTAACATTCCTACATATGGTATCAATTGCTCTCTCAATTCTGCTGGGTAATAAATGTGATGGAGATGGGGAAGATCTTATTCCCTTTTACTGTAAGGAAAACTTGACAAAAGATGTTGAGCAACATAACACAAGTTTTAAGGCGTGTTAGGGAATCTTATTTCATTCACCTTCTCCTGACTCGATGTAAATGTATAATTTGGCATTTTGTTACTCTTTAAAATAAAAAAGCAAAAGATTTTTCCATAATATCTTTCACATAGTCTAACGAAATGAGTATGTGCCTAATTATGGAAACCACCAATTTGTAACCATGACATCATTGGGCATTCACACTGATTCTGGCTTATGAGTTTAGTGCTTCCCATTTTTAGGAAGTGGTATTTCTAGGCTGTCAGAGAATTAGAGTTTCTGTATTCTACATAATTATTAATAGCACACCCAATTTTTGTATTAATCACTTGGCTTTCAATTGTGACAGGACTGACAGAATAAAGAACCTTGAGCTATTAGCTGGTGGATTTCAGATTAAATCTTCCCTGCATCACCCATAGCAGAAGTCAAATTTATCTGTGAGTTCATATTCAATATAGTCTTTACTTTCCCAGATTTCTCCAGCTTCACCAGAACAATCTCCTTTTTTCTACTCTGCCCACAATATCTCAACTAAATTATTTAAAGTTGCCTATAAAATATTATGACCAAGTCAGGAATGTTGAGGTGCTTTTTTAAATTAAGTTGGTATGTCCCAGGAGGTGGGTCCAACATGGTGGCATAGGACAATGAGCTAACTCCCTCCCAACAAAACATGGAATGTGATCTGTATTTACAATTTCTCCTGAGAGACCTGTGAGCTAATTGAATAACTTCTGCACAACAAGCAAGAGAGACTACATAGAGAATGTTGGGGAAACTCAAAAGAGCACTCCAAGAGATGAGGAAACAACCCAGGAACCCAGGAACTGGTGAGCACATTTGTTTATGTTACCCCTGCATGTGGATAGCAGGCAGGAGCTCCACCCAGTTTCCCTGGCCCATCTGCAGAGCACTGTAGCATGTCCCCAATGACCCAAACTGGAGTTAGACCCAGCAGGAACAAGAATGAGCCATAGCATGCATACAAGGGCCCCTTCCAAACAGAGATTGATCCAGTGAGTACAGCAAGGTGCTACTTTAGGCACCCACTCAGCTCCATGCACACA